CTATTGAGGAACAAAGAAGTGCATCGAGAGATACGAGGAAAAAAGATCAGAAAGTGTTGTTTTACATCCATCGGTCTATGAATGAAAACATGTTTGAGAAAATCGATGATTCGATGATGGTGAAGTTTGTGTGGTATATACTGACTCGATACTGTGATGGTTATACATCAGTGAAGAACGTGAAGCTTAAATCTTTACACAAGCAGTATGAGAATCTCAATATGAAGAACAATGACAAGGTTCCTGATTACATCTTTAGGGTGATTTTGATCATAAATGAGATGAAAGCGTTTGGAGAAACTCTTTTTGAACAAGTAATTATTGAGAAGATATTGAAGTCTCTTACTCATAAATTTAATTACATTGTTGTAGCAATTGAACATTTTAAAGATCTAGACACCATGAGAATTAAAGAGCTGCAAAGTAGTCTAGAGGTAAAAGAGTTGTGTCTGACTGAGAGAACCTCTGAAAGAGAGGTAGAGCAGGCTTTGAAATCTTCTTTTGTCAAAAAGGACTAGAAACAGTCTTGGTCAGAGGCTAAGAAAAGACATGATGGTTCTCATAAGTCAGAAGTCTTCTATTCTGATGAGAAGAAACATCATAAAGGAAAGAAGAAGCTTGACAAGATAATGGTTTAGTGTTACTATTGTAATAGGTTTGGCCACTTTGCTAAATATTGTTGGTCAAATAAGGGAAAAACAAACATATCCAAAGGAGATTTTGATGATGAACCTATGTTATTGATGGATTATGAATTTGATGAAGAACATGTGTTATTGACGTTTTCTTATTCGTAAGGAGACTTTGAATATGAGTTAGAATCAGAAGATGACTCTAAATTTGAAGTCGAGTCTGATTCTGAAGATGAGCCAGAATTAGAAGATGACTCTGAAGTTGAAGTCACAAGAGATGTCATTGTGAATGAGTCATAAGAATGGGATTGAAGCAAGTCTCAATCCAACTCTGGTGTAGTGTTAACACCTGAGGTAACTTCTGAATATAGTTCAGAATCTGAAGGTTTTGAATATGAGTCAGAACCTGAAAAAGACTCTGAAGATGAGTCAGAGTTAGAAGGAGACTTTGAAGATGAGTCAGAAGATGATTCTGAAGGTTTTAAAGATGATTCAGAGTCTGAAGGTGACTCTGAAGTAAAAGATGACTCTTAAGGTGAGTCTGATTTTGAAAGTGAATCTGATTCTGATCCATATTTTGATGATGATCCAGAATCTGGTGGTAATTAAATTTCTGAAGATGGTCGTGCTTCTGAAGGTTGGGTTTTTGAAGATGGTCATGCTTCTGAAGGTGGAGCTTCTAGAGGTGGTCTAGCCTCTGAAGGTAGTCTAGCCTCTGAAGGTGGTCCAGCATTTGATATTGTTCCAAAATTGGAAGAAGATCCTGAACAAGTTTAGAGGCCACAAAGAATCAGACAATTACCAAGAAGATTCGTAGAGTTTGACATATTGTAAGATGCTGAAGTAGGCTCTGAAGGAGAAGTCATTTGGTGTGCCATGTTAGTAAACTCTGAACCAGATAATACTGGAGAAGCTATCAAGAATAAAATGTGGCTGAATGTCGTGAAAGAAGAACATAAGGCTCTAAGGTATATTAAAAGGACTCTAAGGTATAGAGTGTTGTTCCCTTCTGGTGCTAAAACTGATGAAGAGCTGATACACTATTCAGACTCTGATTGACGTGGGGACAGAGTTGACAGAAGACATACTTCTGGATATTTTTTCAAATATCTAGGAAGTCTCATTTCTGGGTTCTCCAAGAAGCATTTGGTGGTTGCGTTGTCAACTTATGAAGCTGGATATATTGCAGGTGCTTTGACTGCGTGACAAGCTATTTAGTTGATGAATTTGTTGCAGGATTTGAAGATCAAGATGAGCAAACCTGTGAAGTTGATGATTGATAATAAATCAGCTATAAGTTTTCCCAAGAACCCAATGTTGCATAGAAAAAGGAAGCACGTTGACACGAAGTTCAATTTTCTAAGAAGTCAAGTCCATAATAGAGTGCTAGAAGTTACATACTATAGCACTTAGAAGCAACTTACAAATGTTTTGACGAAGACTGTCAAGACTAAACACTTCATCCATTTGAGAGATAAAATTGGTGTTGTAGAATTTAATTAGCTCAATATCAATTAAGGGATGGTGTTAGAAGTAATTCATATTCAGAAGTTGAGGTTACTTAGAATTTGTTGTTAGAGTCAGAAGGTCAGTAACTTCTAAGGGTGTTAGCCAGAAGTTGTAAGCTTCATAGACTATTCAGTAAGAAGTAGTAGTTAGATGTTTTTCTAGAAGATACTCTTACATGTCAACTTAGCTACTAAGCATACTTTTGTTAGGGACTACGTGACAGTTTATTTTGTGTATATAAACAAGTTTGTAGTTAGGGTTTTTGTGAAGAAAGTTAATGTAATTGTTAATAGAGTTTCTTTATAAACAAATTTGTTCTCTCTCTCTCTCTCATGTGTGTCTAACGATCCGTAAAAATTATTAACATTACATTGAAAACATAAAACTGGAAGAGGTCGGTGTTGAAGAAGGTTGAAATAACTTAGAAGTAAAAAAAGAAGAGAACATATAACTTTCTTAAAAATCACTACACAATTTACAAAACAAATTTTTTACATTTAATTCCTTAAAATGTGCGTAACATTTTCGGAAAATGTTATTAATATTACATTTAATATATCTTTTATTTTTATAAATATTTTAAATTTTATTTTTAGTGTTTATTAAAAAAATTATAAGTTTGTTCTATAAAAATTGTATTCGTGTAATTTTAGTCCTTTAGAGCATCTCCAATTGTGAACTCATTTTTGGGTTTTTTGTGGGACCTATTAAGCCACATCAGCTTGAAGCAACTCAATTAGTTTTTCACTCTAATGGTGCAACTCTTAAGAACTCATATTGGGTCCCACAACTTTACTTTATATATTAATATTTTATTCATATTAAATTTAATATTTTTTTAAATAATAATTTTAATTATTTAAATTAAAATTGATATAAAATAAATAAAATTCAAATTAAACTTATAATTTAAAATGATAATTAAAATTAATCTCAAATACATGACATATAATTAGGATTTTGATTATTTTGTATGTAATTGAATATAGCTTGTTGATAATGAAAATGATTAGGATCCATTTGGCCTAAACAATTTTAAGTTGAAGTAAAAAGATGAAAATTTAGATGAAATTTTGAGAGAGAAACTTGAAATTTAAGAGAAAATGAAAGTGAAAGAAAATTGGTGTTGATAATTTTTTTCCTAAAACACTATATTTATAATTGAAAAATAAGTTAAAAAATTAAATTAACTAGCCGTTCAACGGCTACTTGGTTGCTGCTTTGAATTTTAAAATATTAAAAATAAAATAAAAATCGTTGAGTGTTTCAATCCGTTGGCCAGCTGGAACATCAGAGAAAAGAAAAAAAGCATTGACACTTGGAGAACCAACATGAGAAACCTCCCGTTGGAGGTGGTCTTATAATTTCTAAAATTTTAAAAACTATTTAATTATTTTTAAACTTTTAAAATTTTGAATAATTTTTTTCATGTGTTTAGAATATTATAAAATGTGTTTTTATTAAACTTTATAATTTCTTAAAATGAAAAGAATTAAATATGAATTTTTTAAATTTAAAAAAATATTGATAAAAGTTATAAAAATCTCGACATAGAAATCAAATTTTGAGTTTTTTTTTCCGAAGAACTTGTTATAACGTTTTAAACATGTCTGCAAAATAATCATTCAAAAACTAAAATATGTCATGTTTTTTATAGGGATTAAAAACAAATTTTGATAATTTATAGGGACCAAAAATATATTTAACCTTTAAAATTAAAATAGATCATTTATTGAAAAAATTTCTTAGAGATGAATTAATTATATAAAAAAGAGTTAAAAAATAGTGTATTGACCATGTAAAATAGTTTCCAATATAAAATAATTTTATATTGTCATCAAATCAAAATTCATCATTTAGTCTTGTCATATAATTTATTTAAAAATAAAAATATGACTGGTCAGTTATCATAATTGTGATTGATTGAAGGTGTAAAATTATTTTACATTGTCAATATATAAAACTCTATAAAAAAAATAAAATTCAAGAAATAAAAAATATGGTCTAAACTTAGAGAAAATGGGTGATAAAATAAATGCATATAACCATTTAACTTCTTAACTTATTTTTAAATTATATATTCATTTTAAAATTAATTACCGTGCGATGTAAAATTCTTTACAAAGTCATATATTATAACCATTTAAAAATGTTATTTCTAAATAATTAAAATAAAAATAAAATATTATTAAAATTCTAACAATCACGATTAATTGATAGTTTACATTATCAGTGTATATTAATTAAATTCATTCATCTTTATCTTTTTCAATTAATATTAAAGAGATTAATTTTCATGCATTGTCGATATAAATTTTTTGATATATTAAATATATCACAATCATTCAAAAATATTATTTTTTAAATAATTAAAATAAAAATTAAATATTATTAAAATTTTAACGGTCGTAATTAACTGAATAAAACTTATTTATATTATCAGTGCAAATCAATTAAATTTAATTTTAAATTAGAATTTACAATTACACTAAATTAATTACAATTTTTTAATGAGATTGGAGATTAAAGTATGTTACCTTTTTTGTACTCTACTATTACATGATTTGTCACAATTTGCGTTATACTTCTTTTTTGGTAGAATGTTTTAATAATTAATACTGATTTCATTTGCATGAAGTTTCAATTTTTTCCATCACTTTTAGAATAAAAAATATAGACGTTAGAAACTGTAACGGCTACTTTTTTGTTATTCAATTCTCAAAACCCTCGTTTCAACGTAATACACTAGTTTTCTCTTTCTCCATCATCTTTTTCTTGAACTTTCTCTCTACTGGATCGCAGATTCAATCGAAAAGTTTCAATCTTTCTTCAATTTCGTTTCTGGGTCGATTCAAATTCATGGCACCCACACCTTCTTCCAAGCCAATTCATTCCACCCAACTGAGGACTCCGAATTCAAAGCATCGCTTAAACTTCAGTGGCTTCAAATCACCGCATCCACACCCATCTCCGAATCCCAATTTTGCTTCCAACAAAGAATCACCACCTGAACACCCGATTGAAGTTATTGCTAGAATCCGTGACTACCCGGATCGAAAAGATAAGCCTTTATCGGTTCTTCAGGCGAGTTCTAACTCGAGATCGATTAGGGTTCGCGCGGATTTTGGGTATAGGGATTTTACCCTTGATGGGGTGTCTCTGTCTGAGGAAGAGGAATTGGATCTGTTTTACAAGAAGTTTGTGGAATCGAGGATCAATGGAGTTAAATTGGGGGACAAATGCACCATTATGATGTATGGGCCGACTGGTTCTGGCAAGAGTCACACCATGTTTGGGTGTGCAAAGCAGGCTGGGATTGTGTATAAGGCTTTGAGGGATATTCTTGGAGATGGCGATACAGATTCTGAGATTAGTGGAGATGGAAGTGATGGTGACTCTATAGGGTTGAGAACTTTTGTTCAGGTTACTGTTTTGGAGATTTATAATGAGGAGATTTATGATCTCTTAACTACCAATGGAGGAGGTGGTGGAGGATTTGGATTCGGTTGGTCTAAGAGCAATGCTTCAAAGGTAACCATGTTGCTTTATCACTTGATCTGTTATTTCTTTAGGCTTTGGTTCTTCAGATCATATCTTGGATTTGGCTTTACGATTGTTATTTGGCTCAACTTTATTATATGCTTATGAAGTTTGTATGTTTTAGTTGTTTTCATAATTTGTACAACTTGATCATATATTGGCTTTAGGACTGTTATTGGCTTAAACTTTATCCTATCTTGGATTTGGCTTTAGGATTGTTATTTGACTCAACTTTATGCTTATATGATCATAAAGTTTGTATGTTTTAGTTGTTTTCATAATTAGTTCAAATTTGGTTTGTTAAGTTTACTCTTTGTTTAGCTCATTTTGCTCTGAATGAAAAAAGCTTATATGCTAACTTGTGACAATTCAAATCAATACTAAAGATCATATGTTGTACAAGTGCTAAACATTTGAATGGTGTGACTTTCTCTTACTATCTAGGATTTGGCTTTAGGATTGTTATGTGACTTTCTCAGTTTTTTACATGTTTTGCATGTTCTGGTACACCATAAAATCTTATGATAGTTCCTTTTTCTTACTTGTGTAATGTGACTTGTAGGTCAAACTTGAGGTGATGGGGAAAAAGGCTAAGAATGCAACCTACATATCTGGAAATGAAGCAGGGAAGATTTCGAAGGAAATTCAGAAAGTGGAAAAGCGAAGGATTGTTAAAAGCACACTTTGTAATGACAGGAGTTCTAGAAGTCACTGCATGGTATAGTTGCTTTATAGAAGGAGGTTCTGATAAAATTTATAAAGTTTCCTTTATTGATAATTGATGACTTGTTTTCGATTCTTATCAGGTAATACTTGATGTCCCGACAGTGGGAGGACGGCTCATGCTTGTGGACATGGCAGGATCAGAAAATATTGAACAAGCTGGTCAAACTGGATTCGAGGCGAAAATGCAGGTTACCATTTTTCTGCATTAATACTTATTCTTTAACCATGCATGTTATGTTCTCTACTGATTATATTATACTGTCGATAATTTTACAGACTGCAAAAATTAATCAAGGTAATATAGCACTGAAGAGAGTGGTTGAATCTATTGCAAATGGCGATTCACATGTGCCTTTTAGGGACAGTAAACTTACCATGCTTCTGCAGGTAATTAACTAATTATTGTTTTTGAGTAGATTACTCGATTTGTGTTTCATGTTATTTCATGTACTTTTTCTATTTTCCCTTTTTTAAGGATTCCTTTGAAGATGATAAGTCGAAAATTCTAATGATACTATGTGCGAGTCCTGATCCTAAGGAGATACACAAGACAATCTCGACACTAGAATATGGAGCCAAAGCAAAATGTATAGTTCGTGGTCCTCATAGTCCGGTTAAGGAGGAGGACTCTTCTTCTACTGTCATCTTGGGATCAAGAATCGCTGCAATGGATGAGTTTATTATGAAACTACAAATGGAAAACAAGCTTAAAGAGAAAGAGAGGAATGAAGCGCACAAGAAGCTAATGAAGAAAGAAGAAGAAATTGCTGAGTTAAGAGCTAAAGTGGAAACAGCTCCTGCTGCAAGTGAGGAGGAGATTAACCTAAAGGTAAATGAACGAACCCGTCTTTTGAGACAGGAGTTGGAAAAGAAGTTGGAAGAGTGTCAAAGAATGACTAATGATTTTGTCGAGCTAGAGAGGAAGAGAATGGAAGAGAGGATATTGCAGCAGCAGGAGGAAGTTGAGATTCTGAGAAAGAGACTGGAAGAAATTGAGTTGCAGCTGAGTTCTTCTAAGCAAGAGCGTAAAGATGAAAACGGATCGAAAGAGATGGAGCCAAGTGGGTTTATGAGAAAACTACTGAGTGTTTACAAAAGTGAGGATGATCTTGCAATGGTGAAATCAATGGATCTGGACATGGATGATCAAGAGCCGTTCCTTGCACGCGAAGTTATCGTTGGCATGCAAGGCATTTCACCAATTCAACCCTGTTCAAATACTTTGAATGTTGATCAAGAATATGCACCAAACTTTGGTCCAAAAGCATGTCTAAGTACAGTATATGAAGAAGAAGGAGAGGGAGAGGGAGAGCAAGATCATGAGGATAGTGTAGAAGAAGATGAGGAAGTGGAGAAAGAAGTGATAGAGGAAAAGAGGGTATGTAGTGTAGGAAAGAGTCCAAAGAAAGAGGATTTTTCTGTGGCCGACAAGGAAAACAATGGTTCGAATAGAATGTTGAGAATTCACAACATATTCACACTTTGTGGAAACCAAAGGGAACTCTCGCAATTTGGAACACCAGTTCCTACAAAATATTCTCCTGTCAAATCAAGTGAGAAGAAAGATTCTGTTTTAAGAATCTCCAACAAAGAGAACCTGGAACAGAATGTTGTGGCAAATTAGCTTCAATTTACCGAAACATGAACTGTGAACTGTATTATTGGATTTGGATGTTTCTTGCTCGAAATGCGATTTAATTTGCCTATTAAATACTACTATTTGTTTTTGTGTTGATAATAAATTTGTTCTAGCGAAACCAGAGTGAGAGTATATAATGAATTGCCTTGATAATTTTCACGTGTAAACTAATCATTTAATAATTACTTTTACAGCGAAAATCCATGAGGATTCAAAACAAGCAGTAATAACATTTCCAAATTAAAAGATGGAAGAAAAGTAGTTGTATTTTGCAGTGACAACACCAAGCAAAAGATGAAATGATGATGATGATATAATGTGATAATAATAATAATATTAACCAGAGAAGAATATATCCTGCTCCTGAAATCTGTCTCTAAAACTGAATTATTAATGCCAGCACACACTATTAGGCTAAAGGCCCAGAAACAGATCCAGGCCCAGGCCCAGGCCCAAGATTCGTGAACGAGACATCAGTCATGGAACCAGCCTTGGACGACCTTCGAGGCTTTCTCGAGGAAGAAGATTCTTTGTCTTTATCCTCTTTGGTCTTTCTGCGATGCGTATGTTTAGTTGGTGGTTTGTTGATATCTTCTTCTTCTGTTGAATGACGGCTGTGTCTTCTAGAAGTTTCTGAAGAATGGTGTCGCCGTGATGGCTTGTTGGATCCTTCCTCTCGCGGTGGAGAGCTTATTGAAGATTGGCTGTCCGATGAACGATGCCTCGACTTTCGAGCATGGCTTTTCTTTCCTTCTCCTTTTACACTACTATTGGTGTCACTATTATTACCACTATCTGCATGCATGCATGCATAATTAACCATTAGAAAAACATACAGAAACATAAACACGTGTTTGCATCAGAGGTGTATGTCCTAGAGAGATAATGAAAAAATCAAACCTAGGCCTTCAGATGTCTTTGCTTTGGGCGAAGATGGTTGTGAATCTTTAAACTCGGTCATCCAGCTAGGTGGATTCGCCTTTCCATCTTCACATCCAATATGTGCCAAATGCTTTACATCTGTAGGAAACCCAATTTGTATCTCCTTTTCTTCATCCTCATCTGCAAAACTCTTATCCTTTATTATTGAATGAAAGTTTCCTGCATTACTATAAGGTTTTTGAAATGTATTTGATGAAACAAGTTACCGAAAATTTGGGAAATGTATCTTAGTCCTTTAAGGAGGCCTTTCATCTGGCCTTTCACAGCGGTCGAGGACATTTTAATGGACCCTCCTCCTCCAGCTCCACCTCCTTGTTGATTCATTTTTTGCAGTACTATAAAAGCTTCTTCCAGTCGAAATGAAAGTTTAGATGAAGCATGAAAAATGAAGAAGAAAAGATGTATTATGCATGGGAGGAAAAGTAAAAGAAGAAACAAATCTTGGCTGGGATTGGTTTGGAAAGAGGAAGAAACAAACCAAACCAAAGAAAACCAACCAAAAAGAGGGAGACTGGGGAAAATCTCAAGAACCAAAATTGAATGCTTACTGGATTTTGATCTACCGCCCCCTATCGGTGGCCAAGCAAATCAAAACCAGTAACTAAACATGTTTTTTGATGGACATCCAGATATGTTGCAATCTAATTTTTTCATGTGCTTTGACTATATTAAGGATTAATATTTCCAACCTATTTTTGCTCATCAAACATGCGACAATAACGCTTTCAGTTCTCAAATGTGTATTCTCAATTTCGTGAACCTAATTTAAAAATTTTAAAAACAATTACAACTAATACTTTAAGTTTTTTTTGTTGCTTGTGGGTTTCATCGTCACAAAAATAATAGGATGAAAGTGTAAATTAAAACGATAAGGTTGGTCAAAACTGTTGATATTTTATTTAAAAATTTATTTAATTATTATATTTAAATATTATTATGTCATCATGTATATTCCGTCTCTTCCTTTTTAATTGTCTGTTTTTAATTTTTTACACATACTAAGACAATTAACGATTATAGTTATTTTTTAAACAATGAATAATTTTTTTCTTCTATAATATCCTTAACTTTTTAATAGTTTATTTCACTTTTTTTCTCTCTGTAATAATGATTAAGAGTAATTTTGACAAAACTATCATTAATACTATTTTGAATTTTGAAATGTGATATTTAAAAAGAAACAATTTTTTTTTTAAAAAGTGATATTTAAAAAAGAACTGAAAGAGTATTTATTTAATTATATTACTTATTTATATCAATTTATGTTATTACTATTGTTGATAACTTGATTTTAGGTTATTTCACAAATTGAAGAATTAAAGAGAGGTCAAAGTAAATTGGAAGAGGTGTATGTAACACACACTTATACTTTCAAACTGTTACTAGTAGTAATGTATATTTTTGATCTTATCGGTGATCGGAAAGAATAGTGTGTGGTCAGTCCAATTATATGTTGATCCAAGTTGCTCCTTCAGGGTGGGGGAGTTATCTGCAATGCATTCTGATACTAAAGTTAGAAAGAGTAAGAGGTAAGTGAGTATTAGAGTTATGAGTAAGATACATGACTCTTCCAACTAAATTTACGGGTGCGGATGCGGGGGCGGGTGATGCTAGTACCCTGCACCCGCACCCGCCCCGCACTTGCCAACTAAATTTAATTTATTTCATTTATTTTTAATTGTTTTCTTACTCATTTACACTTTTTAATGTTATAATATCATGTTTATTAGAATTATTATTATTTTTAAATAAAATTTAAATAAAAATATCAAACATAAAAAATGTTTTTAAAATAATCAATTATTTAGTTTAACTATTGATTTTTATTTTTATTGAAAAAAAGTACATATTTAAAAAAAAAATATATTATTCGGCCGGGTGTGGGTCGGGTGCAGGGAAACTCGTTTCTTGTTAGGGGCGGGGGCGAGGGAACAAATATTAGCTCCGACTGAGTTTGGGGGCAGGGGCGGGTATGGGTCTGAGTGGCGGGTGCGGGTCTGGGTGTGCTTAAACCCGCCCTCGGCCCGCCCCGTTGCCATCCCTACGTGTGTTGGTGTTTGGCGGTGGTCCAACCATCCTCAAACGCCAGTTCCGATGAGAAGTGCTAGAACTTAGGTTCAGAAAACTTAGGGTATGTCGTGGAGACTTTTTCCCGCGAAACTGATGAATTCATGATGAAGCTCAAGCGACTGGGAGACTTTTCCCCGTGAACACATTCCCGACGCCTGGTCACGCTGGCCTTCTTATGGTCAGGGGGAATTCTCTGTCGTGAGGTAGTTATAAATTTGGGTCATCCAACTATCGCTATTGCCGATGGCGTTTACGTTGAGGGTTGTGGAGGGTTTTTTGATGCTCGGTCGAGAAAGTATTTCTTGGATGACGAATTTATTTCCATCCTTTTTCTTCATGCTCACGAGTTTGGGCAGGATGTCTGCTCGAGTGTTGTGCTAGCGAGGCACATGTTTTACTTCGGATGAATTAAATCTCGTTATTCTCTCTCGAACTAGAACCAAGTTTTTGGAGAGGTTGTCATTTTTAGCATAATACTCTCCCCGAACCTGGGAAGCGACGAGCTGGGAATCTGTGAAGATTTTTACTTTTTTCCCCCAAGTCTTCGGCCAGGCGTAGCCTACGAGAAAGCTTTGTACTCCGCTTGGTTATTCGAGGTTGGGAAGGATAAGGCGGGGGAAACTTTGACCAGGATTCCCTCTTCATTTTCGAAGATGATGCTCGCTTTGCTTCTCGTCGAGTTGGATGCTCTGTCTACGTAGATGGTCCACCTACGGGCTTCATCGGTCGGAGATGTATGTGTGGACATATCTGCCACGAAGTAGGCAAGTACTTAGGCCTTGAGGGCTTTCCTGCTTTCATATTGGATGTAAACTCGGACATCTCTAGTGACCATTTAAGCATCATATCTGCCATGTCGGAACGGCCAAGGAGCTTCTTTACAGGCTGATCGGTGTGAACTATAATTGTGTAGGCCAAGAATTAATGTCTTAGTCTCCTCGCTGCATTGATGAGGGATATATCCACTCTCTCGATTTGGTGGTACCGGAGCTCTGGACCTTGTAGGGCTTTTCTTGTAAAATATATGGCTTATGCCCCTCGGGGTCTCGCAGATAAGGGTCGCGAAGACGGCCTCAGTAGCGACGACAATGTAAACATATAAAGGCTCCCCGTTGTCTGGTTGCAATAGGACCGATGGTTATGAAAGAGCTTGTTTAAGATGGAGGAGAGCTTGCTCGCATTCCTCTGTCCATTCGAACTTTGCTTCTTTGCGAAGGAAAGAGGGAGTGCATGCTGAGATTGGATAGATTTCTTCGAGTTAGGTTTTGGGAATTCAGAGAAGGCTCTGCACTTGTCGGGGTTCGCTTCGAATCCTCGTTCTGTCAAGTAAAAATCGAGGAACTTGCCTGCTCAGACGCCGAAAGTGCACTTCTCCAGATTGAATCTCATCTTGCATTTCCTTGCATGGTCGAAGACTCTCTTCAAGTGGAGCGTGTGGTCGGACTCCCCTTGGGATTTCACGATCATTTCATCCATTTATACTTCGGGGATGTCTCCAATTTCACCTTGGAATACCTTGTTCATCATCCGTTGATATGTAGCGCTGGTGTTTTTCAGGCCGAATGACATTACGTTATAGTAGTAATTTCCCGACTCGGTCATGAAGGCCATGTATTTTTTGTATTTTATGGCCATGAGGATTTGATTGTATCCCGAATACGCGTCCATGAAAGATAGTAATTTAAAACCAGATGAGTTGTCGACCATCCTATCTATGTTAGATAATGGGTATGCATGTTTTGGGCATTCCCTATTAAGATCAGTCTAATCAACACACATTCGCCACTTTCCATTAGATCCCGTAACGAGTACAACATTTGACAGCCAGATTGAGTACTAGGCTTCAGAAATAAAATTTAACTCTAAGAGGTCTTTTACAACTTTTTCAACAGCTTCCGCTTTCTCGGGAGACTACCTACACCTACGTGTACTACGGGCCTAGCGGTGGGATCTATGTTCAGGTGGTGGCATACGACCTCGGGGTCCACTCCTGGCATCTTGGTTGTGTTCCATGCGAACAGATCTACATTTTTCCTCAGGCAGGCTTTCAGCTGCTCCTCGCCAGGTCGGGGAGGCCAGTGCCAATATTCACTCCTTTGTCTGGGTCATTTCCGAGGTGGATGACTTCAAACTCGCTGTCCGGGATGAGGCACATAGGATGGGGAGTCTCATCGCCATCTTATGGTGTTTTCAGTCGTGCTTCCTGCTCTTTCTTCTTCTGTATCTTTAGATCTTCTTTGGTGAAGCAATTGTCGAGATCAATTGAGTCGATATGATGAATCAGCTTTGGCTCCTTCGAGCTGCTGGGATGAGCAGGCTTGTTGATGGTCCTAGATGACGTGTTGATGGAGTTCTGCCCCTTTGCGACTGTCTCAAAGTAAAGGGTGGCGACAAGGCCCTTAGAAGTATAATACTTCATCTTCAGGTGGACCGTGAAGGGAACAACAATTAGTTCGGCCAAAGTTGGTATTCTCAAGATGCACTAGTACAGAGATGGACAGTCTATCACCAGGAATTGGGTTTTGACTGCTCTGGCAGTCTCAGCTGCTCCGAAGGTGATGATCAGCTCAGCATAGCCCCATGGTCTCGTGGTTGCATCGTTGAAACCCTGCACATTGGATCCCATGTAGGGTGTCAGATGTGTTTTGTCCAGCTGTAGAGTCTTGAACAGGTGAGAGTACATTATGTCGACTGAGCTTCCCTGATTGATTAAAATGCAACATACATCACAGTTCTCCATTCGTGCTCTCACGAGCAAAGGAATGTTAGAGTTAGGGGATCTGTCGGGAATATCTTCTCGATAGAATGTGACAGGGTTTGAGCTTCCCTGATATCTCTCAAGGGTAGAGTTTTGGCTCGAGCTTGCATCGATAAGCTCCTCAAATTTTCGTTTCACCGAGCCTACAGTGAGGTTGTTGAATCCCCTGTCGGATATGACCACGGCGAATAGGAAGGACTCCCATGGGTTGTGCATGACAGTGTAAATGGGGAAGTTGAACCCCTCGGGGACGAAGAATCCCTCTGGTCGGGAGATGCTCATGGAGACCTGGAGGTTTGCATCGTCAGAGGATGGAATTTCCTCCTTGACCCTCTTTGTTTCTCGGGTCTCTTGCCAAGGAGCTTCCCTTTTTTGGTATTGCTTCAAATTCCCATATTTAATGAGGATCTTTATTGTACCCTTGAGGTGGATACAGTCTTCTATGAAGTGCATGTGGCTTTTGTGGAAATGAAAGTATTTGGTCTTGTCCACATTG